ATCTTCATAAATAGTTTCATTTCCAGAAAATGTGGGGTGGTATGTTTTATTGGGATTATATTCGCTTTTATAAAAATCATTTGGATTATTTTCATTAGTGGTGTCATTTTCAGGAAAACGTATGCTTGAGATATTTAATGATTTATCTTGAATACCTTTTCTGGGGGATGCTTCAAGTATTTTATCAATAGCTTTATATTTTATAGGAGATTGTTTTTTAATTTTTTTTGCTGGCTGTAATAAATCTTCTTCTTCAGCTTCTTTTTTCACAAAATCCGTATCATATGCCATTTTTTCAAGAGGCTTTATGATTGGTCTAAAAATTTTATCTAATGTAGCATCATTTTCAGCTTTTCCCAATTTAAGAGCTAAATATTTTTTTCTAATATTTCGAGAGAGTTCATTAATTTTTTCAGTTACATTGACAGTGGTTGGTGCCATGATTACTAATGATACTAAATATAGTTGTTTTACATATTTATATTTTTATCAAACGATAACACCCATTGTTTAAACGGGAGTCTTTTATAACAGCCTGTAGTTTTTGTGACAGTTTTACAGTTTTTATAGCAGTTTTTGCGGTTTTTATATCGGTTTTTGCGATAGTTTTGCAGTATTTATAGCAGTTTTGCAGTTTTTCTAGCAGTTTTTGTGACAGTTTTGCAGTTTTTCTATCGGTTTATGTGACAGTTTTGCAGTTTTTCTAGCAGTTTTTGCAGTTTTTTATCAGTTCTTGCGACAGTTTTGCAGTATTTATAGCAGTTTCTACAGTTTTTCTATCGGTTTTTGTGACAATATTTTACCAAGATTATAAGGTTACTTAGCAAAAAATATTAATAAGTCTATTACTGTTACTCAACTCAAAAAAATATTAGCTACATATTTATATATTTATCAAATCCCTTTCGATAACGTCCATTGTTTAAACGAAAATCTTTTATAATAGCTAAACAACCATAATTTTCATTCCAACATTCTGAGCATATTTTCTTAAACTGATCATAAGGCATATCAGGTGAGACATGTTCATCAAATACATGTTTTAAATCCATATCATCCTGTCTAAATAGCACAATAATATTACAATTATCACGTATTAATTGTTTTGGTATTTTTGAATATGTTTGACATAAGTATGCAGCGTCTATATTTTTATGTCTACCCATTGAATAGTATTCGCGTATTTTATTTTGTTTATCGCAAGCTACATCATCAAATATGAAAATTGAATTGTTTCGAGCTTTCATAGGTTCTATTATTTCATCATTATCTTTATATGGAAAATACCTCACACCTTTTACTTTACTTAAAACATTTTGTAATAATTGATATTTTGGTTGGAAAAGAGATTTTGAATAAACGTAAATATTTTCAAATTTAGCTCCATTAGCATTAAATATTAAACTTAATAAAGCATTTGTTTTACCACACCCACTAGGACCACAAAAAATTGCTCTAAAGGAATTTGGTATTCAATTAATTTTACAACAGCACGTAATTTTTGGTAACTTATTTAACACCTCATTAGCTTCTTTCACATAAAATGAAACCATACAACATGGACATGTATCTGGACCTTCATCAGAATTTGACCAGGGGCACGTCTCAAAATGTTTACCATACTGGTTATTTACAATCTTAGCATTAAGATGCTGCTCCAAAAATTCTTTTTGACTGGTCCATTTTTTAATTTTTTCCTTTTTCAAAAATTCTCGATATATTTCTTGTTGAGTAGAATATTTATTTTCAAATTTTTCTTCACCTTCTTTACCACATTTTTCCAAAAATTTATCAATATTTTGGATTGCCATTTCAATTTCCTTTGCACTAATCATTATTACTGTACGATAATATTAAGACTGAATAATACTTTTTAGGTCGCACGTTTTGGTGGGAAAATAATAAATTTATATTTAAAACAACTAACTTTTATATGAAAAAATTTAAAACCGATGGTTTCCGAGTACCGATCGGTCCCAAAATATTAAAAAAATTTAATTTTAATAAAAAAGGTCGGACACACCTAATTGTGAGAAAAAGGCCTCTGGAGGGATTAAAAATAGACTTGTTAGGACAAGTCGGATGACGTCAGCAATTCAAAATGGCGTCAAAAATGAAAATTATATTAAATTCAATAATAAACACATTACCACAAAAACGGAAATATTTTATCAAGCTAAAAATTTGACGTCACAATTCAAAATGGCGTCAAAAATGAAATTTATATAATTAATAATAAATCCTTATCTCCAAATAGCGGATGCCAAACCACTGTTAAGTCACGCCCACCTCCTTATCACCAGCTTCCTTTCCCTTATCTCTAGTTCGCTGCTTTCACTACCGCTTATCAGTAGAGGGCGCTTATTATCTCTAGTTCGTTGCTTTTACTACCGCTTATCAGTAGAGGGCGCTATTTGCAAATGGCCGACATCCGACGACCGCCCATTAGCTATTTGCAGGGGGCCTATCAGCCAACCACCGGCCTATCTACAGCCAATCACACTCTACTGGGCGGGGTTTTGCAACCACAAACATCGATTAGGCCCTATTTTTTGGACCAATCGCCTTTAGGAACGCCCCCCTTTAGGAACGCCCCCTTTAGGAACGCCCATCCAACTGTCTGGCTCACTTCCGGTCCCGTATCGGTGTAGTATATCTACTACCCCCCATGGAACAACGGGAAAATCACCCTCAGAGCTTTTGTTCGGAAGGAATATCCGTGACAAGATACCTTCGATTGCCGACTTTATTATGGAACAAGGAGACGAAGAAGCCTGAGACTTGGATATAATCAATAAGCTTAAAGGAAAAATAAGGGAAGGTGCGAGGGGCGCGCAATACTGACATCAGCCTGGAAGATAAATGATATAGAGTACACCGTGGTTAAACAATCGGGATACAGGATGGGGGCCGACAAATCCGCCGGAATATTGGACATGTAAAGAAGCTCCCTAAACCTACAGATAATCCTCTTGAAGACTACATTACAGATACGAATAGGACACACACAACGCCTTCTCCTAAGGCCGTAGCTGAGGCACTTGAACCTCAACCACTTCAAGGTCCTTCACAAATAACTCCAACGATAAAACCACTCCGTCTAAAAAGAAAAGAAGGGATGTGGCGACCTGCATCTGCGGATGACGAATAGTTGCCGCTGATAATCATTTTGAATGTTATATAATCGTTTTGTTCTGTTATGTTTTAAGTTACTTGATTTGTCATATCAATAGTTAGTTATGTTTTGGATGTTAATGGTGTAGGTTGTATCTGTCTAATAGCTATCAATAAAAGCGATATTATTATTAAAGTTTATTTGTGTATTATTTACAACGGTAAGAAACCCGGGGTAGCACAGACATTAAACAAGTAAAACCTTTCTAGGTTGTTTAAGCGCAAATATATTAATTATTTTATCAAAATCGATACTTTTGGCCATCTCTATTTCAATAGAAATCAGAGCCAAACTTGTAAGTCGTTCTTGACTCATAACAGAGCGCAAATAGTTTTTAATTAATTTTAATTTAGAGAAACTTCGCTCACATGTTGCGTTAGATACACATAACGTTAAAAATAATTTAAGGCTTAAAAATAGAATGGGGATAGAATCGCAAAAATCATAGTTTACAATAAATTTAAGCACGTCAAGGCAAGTCCAAGATAAATATATATCTTGAGAAATTTTAGCGGCACACAGATATCGCCTTAGCTTCAAAATATCCTTAACGATAGTATCTCCCTCTGAGGAGGAAAATTCTTCGTACTGACTTGTTAATTCCATTGAAGCCTCTTGAAGCTCATCTTCTGAAAAGCAAAATAAGCTTTTTCATAGCTTCAAATCTTTTCGATAACTCCATCTGAAGACGGTCAAGGCATTCAAATAACGCTCGTTTCAGTTGTTCCTCGGTTGAAAGTCCAGCATCACTTGCATTTTCTCCAGGCATAACTTTCTTCCTACGTGTTCTTTTAACTATGGAGATATCAAGGTTAGTGCAAATTTGCTTTGAAGCATCTATGGCTTCCTTCACGAGTTTTTCTCTACTCTCTTTTAAGAAGATCTCAAGTGTATTTATCTTTATAACACATTTATCAAAGGTTAAATTAGAAGTCTGTAAATACTTTTGGGTTTCATCTACCTCTTTTAAAATTTTTGACCAAAAGTGCAAATAAGTAATAAAGGAAAAATCACAAACTGCAGGCAATAACAACTGAGCTGATTGCCTCGTGTCAAGATTTTCATTTTCCAAGTCAGTCAAAGATTCAATTGCATCAATCAACTCTGGTAGCTTATTTTTTACTACTTTTACAGCATCGTAGTGTGCACTCCATCAAGTTTCGGATAATCTTTTAATTGAGACACCTGTTTTTTGAAGTAATACATCCCATCTGTGGGTGGAAGCAGAAAAAAAGTTATAAATACTTTCCAAGGTACCAAAAAATGTTACGCTAGTAGGTACGGTGGAAAAAGAGTGAACACCGCAGAGGTTGAGGGAGTGATTTGAGCAGGCTATGAATACCGCTTTATGATTTATTTGTTTGATCCTTTGCTGTACTCCGGAATTAATTCCAGCCATTGTTGAGGCATTATCATAGCCTTGCCCTGGACAATTTGCGATATATATATTATCTTGCTGCAATTCCTTTAAAATATTATCTGCTATATCTTTGGCCTTTTTTCCTTCAAGGGGGAAGTACCTTAAAAACGACTCTCGCACTTCAACTTCTCCATTTTCAATATGCATATATCTTATTATTTCGCACATTTGCTCTGTGTGTGATATATCTGGAGTACTATCGAACATCATGCAGTAATATTTTGCTTTTAAGATATTAATAACAATTTTTTCTCTAATAGTCGAGGCCAAAATATTAATAAATTCATTTTGTATTTTCGGAGATAAATAACTAGTCGTATATTTTGTTGACTCCAGTCTACACACATGTTCTTTTAGAACGGGGTCATAGTTTGATAATAAGCTAACCAGCTCTAGAAAATTTCCTCAATTTTGAAAATTTTTGTCCTCTCGGTGACCGCGGAAAGATAGGTTTTGCTTAGCGAGAAAAAGTATTATATCTAACAATCTTTTAAGGATATCCCTCTTCTTTTTTACTTCTAGTTCATGTAAGCGTAATCTATGGGTGGTAATTGTACTATTTGAAGCCAGTCCTGTTTGTAATGTCTTCCATTTTGCTATATGGTATAGTGAATTTTCGTGATCCGATACTTTGGGGTTTAGCTTCCACCAATCATTGAATCCGGTGATAAATTTAGATGTGCATTTATCTTGGTCAATTGAAAACAATCGGCAGCAAAAACAAAAAAGTTTTTGCTTGGATATTGAATAAATCATCCAACTTCTTAAAATTTTTTCACCGTTTGGAAGTTTCTTGTAAAACCAAGCTGTCGACAAATTTCGTTTTGAACCTTTAGGGTTTTCACCTTGCTTTACAACATTAGCAAAGGGTCCCTCTTTATTTTGAAAATATTCGCTTCCTTTTTTTATCATTTCTAGTCTAAAATTTTTAGGAAGAGGCAGAGGCCAGTTACCGATGTCCTTAAAAATATTTAAACATTCTGAAGTTTCCTCTGGATCGAGAGTATCAGAAATGTCGTCGGGAACTGTAGTATCTTTGTTTTTATTCTCAGTTTTACTAGTGTTGCTGAGAAAATTTGTATCACTAGCACGTAATACTTCTTTTTCTTCTTCAGAGGGATTAGAAGTTCTACAGGTTTCGGCGTCTTCGCTGTTTTTTTCGTTGGCTCTTGTAGGATTTTTTTCTACGGGTAATGAGACGGTCGTAGAAGTACTAGCTCCCTCTAGCGATTCTGAACATACGTTAGAGGCAGAAATATTTGGCGAAATAAACTGAAGAGCCAGCCATAGCCTCACGTTGTTGCTCTCTTAATTTCCTAGCTTTACGGCTCTTTCATAATAATTATAATAATAAATTATTTACCTGCAAAAAAGTTTACCTAATGTATATCTTCTATTTTTGATTTTTAATTAAATCTTTTAATGGTGGATTTATGCATCACACATTAACATTGAGCTAACATTAACATTAAGAAGTTAAATGAACGTAATGCAATGGAAGCTTTTATGCAACACATTAACATTAATTTTAACATTAAGTTAACATTAAAAGATGATCAACTTTTATCTTCTTAATGTTAATGTTAATTTTTAATCCTGCTTCGCATGTTTTCGGCGCAATTTTTAAATATACCGGGTCAGTAATACCAACATCAAATGAAATAAAACTAGATAAAACGTTTACGAATTTCTTGTTTACTTTTATGATCTGTGTTTTTGTAACCTACTTGATTTGAAGTGCTTTGTTTGTTGTTTTTTGTTTGGGAATCACGCAAAAGCATCTGTTGTGTATAAATGTCACTTTTTTCGACAATGCGCACGCGTAATTTGCTAATAATTTTGCTGCATAAATACCCTCCTATTAATGTTAAATTAATCTTAATCTTAATGTTAAAGTTAATGTTAATTTGTGCTGCATAAATCCACCATATTTTAGATTTTTTAATTAAATTGCATGAAAAGGAAGGGATTTTATTTCCTTTTAAGCAAGCATCTAAAATGTATGAGCGTTGGTTACAGACAGACCGACATAAACAATTGGAAAGACCACAGAACAAGGTTTTTCGGCGCACATAATTATTTTAGGTATATATTTTTGTAGGTTAGAAGAATCTCAACTTTTTTTTCTATATCTACGCGGAAATTAAAAACTAAAATCACAAGATTCAGAAATAAACTTACCTTAAGGTTCCTATATATAACACAACACCGTCAGTGTTTTTTAACGTTATGGATATTAAAGAATTATTGGGGTTTATTTTGATTTAACAGTTTCAATTAGACTAGCAAAAAAAGTAAACACACGACGTCGCGGCCGGCTGTACAATTTTCCAGTTTATTAATGCTCGCGATGTGCGAACGCATATCCAGAATTGCAGTGGGCCGGCAGCTTTTCTCGAAAACCTTTATTGGTAACTTATGTCGGCGGTAGACTGATTACTCATCAAAGGTACAATACCGGTCTTGTTTCTATTTTTTGCTAGCTTTATTTGATTTGGAATATTTTGGGAGTAATTGTATAAATCTCAAATCTATTGGAATTTGAATTATATTATTTCGAAAGAGAATATTTAATTATCAAATATTTTTTTTATTTTTATATTCTGTCTTTAGAGTAAAATAAAAAAGGAATTTTCCTAATTTATTTTGTTTTAAAATAAAAATGAAGAGTACTTTCTTTATTGGGCTAATTATAAATTTTTCCTACTTTATTACCACTCTATACATGCTATTTAATTTTTGATATTCTAATATAATTTTTTCAGGAAGTAAAACTTTTTAAAACTAAACTTTTTTTTGTATAATTGATAATAAAAGTTTTCCATATGTAGACAACTTAAGCGAACACATATTATATATGTATATTTTTTTTATTTTTATATACAGGTTCTTTTAAAAAATCTAGAATGCCATGAAAACCTTTCTCTACTAATCAATCTCTTCAAAATAATATTTGTAGTCAAAAATAGACAAATCATTTAGTTCAATTGAATTATAAAAAATAAAAAAATCACTATTGTTATGGTAATGTTGACATTTTGTCATTTTTTGATCGATCCATAAATTTAATTTCATGGCACTCTGGAGAGTCCTTAATTTATTTTATAAATTTTGCGATTTTTGGTATGTATTTTTATATTGTACTACTTACCTAAATATACAATTTTTTAAAATACTATTTCATTTATAAGCCTTTCCAGGGATGTCATAACTTTATGAGATTGCAAAATGTCCTATTATGATAGGACATTTTGCAAAAGAAGTCACAGTGGGAATTAGGAATTACATGGCACATTCTTGAAATACTTTTTATATGTTATTTATAGACAATCATGGTAATTTTGTAGGCATACATTTTAGTAGAATCTTTAATTTATTGAGAAAAATTGGTTTTATAAATAAAATATTGTTTTTTTTATTAAAACATTTATTTTTTAAAGTAACAAAAAATTAACATAATAAATTTTAAAATATAAATGAACCTACATAATATAAAAAATAAATCACTTGATTACATGGATGGTGTTTCACCTACAGGTGCATCTGCTGATATTGCCTAAGCCAATATTTTCCTGCCAACTCATGAGGGGTACATTTTTCTTTTTTACTGTTATCTGAAATAAATAAACACATTAAGAAAACTATTATATTCATTACAATAATAAGTAACTAACAATTGTAAATATAATTAATTGTAGTTTAAAAAATCAATGTAGGTAGTGAGCCCTGCTTAGCAAAAATGCAGTATATTCAATATTGAGTAATAAAGGACAAAAGTTAATTTTTATGGTTTTTAACAATAAAAATTGACTTTTATCCTTTATGACTTAATATTGGAGATATACTGCAATTGTGCTAAGCAGTATGTATTTTTAATTTTATGAACATTGTAAATAAATGAAAGGGATATTATAAAAAAATTTCTTACCATATATTTCAATAATATTCTTGCCCAAAAACCTGGTAGTTATTACATAGTACATTAGGGTGGGCCGAAAACTTTTTTTAGATATTTATGATGGGGTAGTATAAAAAAGTTGTCTTCCCGATATAGAAAACTACATAAAAAAGTTGGACCCCGCCAAATAAAATTTAGCCGCCCCCCTGCCCCCCTAACGAGGTAATTTTTTAAATATTAAAAATCTCTTTCGGGGTAGTTACCAGATTATAGCACATGCTCTATAGAACACAGGAAAAAAAACTGAACATCCTACTTTCAACTTTAACCACGCCCCTTTGGGCTCCAAGATTCTTGCGACGCTCAGAGACATGCTAGCTTTTTATTTGGGTGTGGCTATTCATTTAATTCTGCCCCTAAAAATTTTAAATTAAAATAATAATTTAAAAAAGCATGTTTGTCTACGAAATAAACCCCAGAAATTGCCTTGCATGATTGCACGCCACTGGTATGGAATGTGAGAAGTGGGAGTGGTTGCCGCGGCACGCTGTCGCTAAGACGGCGTGTTTTGTTTTTAGTGAGTTGCGGTAACGTATAAACGTGTTTTGCGAGCTTATATTGTAGTGTTATTTATATTGTAGTATTTTTCATTTAAAAATGTCTAAACCAAAAGTTAAAAAAACCAGAGCCGGTTTAAGTGTACATTTATTTGGAACAGTGACAGATCTTGATCCTGAAATAATAAATGTGCTTCCAACTTACCAACAAGTGATGTTGTGTTATGAAAGCGTTCGCATTCAGTTAAAAGGTGAAGGGAGCAAAGAACCTCCATTAAATACTATTGCTAATATTGTAGCAGAAAAAATTAAAATTATATGGCAACGTGCATCACTCCCAATTTTAACACATAAAAGAATAGTAGATATGATTTTATCATACCACGCCAAGTATAAAAACATAATTAAACCTTTAAAATCGAGAGACACACCGTTTTTAAGTAAAAAACTAGAAACATTTAAAAACAGTGCCCAAAAACTTTTTGATATTTGTAGCTGCAAATGTTCCACTTTTCAGAGCTGTAAATGTCCAAAAGAAAAAAGGTGTCTGAAATTGAGTGGCCATTCATTATCGATCAAAGAAATGACCGGAAAATGTTAATCGGGCCAGTTGATCGTGTAATAACAAAAAAACTTCAAAAAAAGTTATAAAGACAAGCCAAAAACCTTAAACCACCTGTAAAAGGAGTCGACACCGACATGTCGGTTTGCTGTCACCAAAGGAAAATAGAAAGTCCTCAGCCAAGTACTAGTGGTATACAAATTAGCACTTCAGATGACAGCGATGCAGATTTTTAATGTCCCAAATCTTTAAAACCAAAGCGACCCAAAATTGATAAACTGTCATCTCAAATGAGAGTTACATTAACTCATACAGCAAAAGTTGCAGATTTAACGGGTGTTTCGAGTCGAGTTGTAGCAAAAATCACAACCGCTGTATTGGAAGATATGAATATCGTTTCGGCTAGCAATACTTCCAAAGTCATTGACAAAAATAAAGTTCGGAGAGAAATAAAAAGAAACAGAAAACAGTTAACAGAAAAAAGTTTTTGTGACAATAAGAGAATAAAAGGATTATATTTTGACGGTCGTAAAGATCAAACATTGGAATATGTGGCCGGAAAACGCATAGTTAAGCCTGAAGAACACATTGCGCTTGTTGAAGAACCTAACAGTCAATAGTTTGGCCATTTGTCTTTACTTCCCTCAGTAAAAGCAGTCGACTTATCAAATGGTATTATTAGATTTTTGAGTCATTTAAATATTGATACACAAGAGCTTCAGGTAATTGGATGTGATGGCCCAAATGTCAATACGGGATGGAAAGGAGGAGCTATAAGGTATATTGAAGTCGCTTTAAATAAACCTTTACAGTGGAGCATATGCCTATTGCACTCAAACGAATTGCCTCTTCGCCATTTGTTACAGAATTTGGATGGCCACACAAAAGGTCCATATAGCTTTTCTGGACCTATTGGCAAGTTACTTAATGACTGTGAACTAAAATCTGTTGAAAACTTTCAAATCATTTATACGGAATTGCCTGAAATTGAGAAAAATGATCTTAGCACGGATCAAAAATATTTATATGACATTTGTAAAGCTATAAAAAGTGGAAAATGTTGTGAAAGTCTAAAAGAAACCCAGGGAAAATATCGCACTCCAGATGGTTGACAACGGCTAATAGAATTCTCCGGCTTTATATTTCTACCATAAATCCATCAGAAAATTTTCAAATTCTGGTGGAATTTATAATGAAAGTCTATGCGCCCATGTGGTTTAAAATCAAATCAAAACCATTCATTCAAGATGGAGCTCGACATTTGTGGGATGCAATACGTCTGAGCAGACCATTTCCAGACCACGTCAAAGTAATTGTCTATAAAGTTTTAGAAGGTAATGCGTACTTTGGTCACCCTGAAATTATTCTAATTGCGATGATGACAGATGAAAGACAACACATAAGACAGTTAGCTGTTAAAAAAATTCTTAAGATCAGGAAGAATTTAATACAATCTGAAAGTATAAGAATTTTTAAAATCCCAAAGTTAAATTTTAGTGCCGACGACTATATAGATTTAATTGACTGGTCTCAAACAAATATTTTCAACTCGATAAATTCCCATGCCACACGCAGGCTGCCGAAAGGATGGTTAAAATTATTACAGACGCATCGACAACTGTTTGCGGTCAAGAGTCACGTGAAGGTTATATAAGAGCCAAGATTCGAAAATAAGGCCGAATATTACAAAGTAAGAGATAAGTAGTAAGTACTTATACAAATGGAAAAGGGTGGGTGGGTGGAACTCGTCATGCTAAGTTACTTTTTTTTTATTTATAAGTAATTTTTCATCTTAGGGTTCCAAATTAAGCGAAGAGCCGTACTTTAATAGAAAGCTGTTATATATCTTTTAGCCCTGCAGGGCTAAAAGATATATAACCTAAGAGGCTAAAGGGGCGCGGCTAAAATTCAACGTACGGCCTCCATTTTTCTTTTCTATTTAGAGTACTTAGCCTAATTTAGTAACTACCCCGAGCATGCTTTTGTTTAAAAAAAATATACCCCTTTAGGGGTGAAGGGGGGCAGCTAAATTTTAATTGACGAGCTTCAGCTTTTTTTTATAGTTTTCTATATCGATAAGACTACCCCCCCAAAAATTTCGAAAGAAAAGAAAAATGGCTGTTTTCGGCCCACCCTATTGTACATCGGCCGAGTAAATTAGTTTGTTTTACCTAGCATAGTTTATAATCAATTAAACTGACTTGGTGAAGTGTAAAGTGTAAAGGATATATTCTCAAGGGAGTTAAATTTATTAATTTCATTTATCTCAATGGATTTGACACCGGGCGACCTTGGGTCGCCCAACAGTAATTCGCCGGCTGGTACAAAAAACAATCTAAATAAAAACATCAATTTTAACAACAAATATCAATTAAACGATAAAGGCCCGTATTTTGTTTATGTTCAACATAAAGATGACACTAGCCGTTTATTTCCAATGCGCGTAGGTCACTATTTATTTTCAGAGGATATTTTTAAGACATCTATTACTCATATACAACCTTTAGGATTCATTCGTGTCAAAGTTATTTTGAATTCACCCGAGGCCGCAAACTTATTAGTTAATAATGAAATTATTAATAAGTTAATCTCTTACATACCTAAATATTTCACTCAAAAGAAAGGTATAGACCTATCCCATAAAACAGACTTTTGGATAGCGCGTGCCTGAAGAAGAGTGGTATCTCTTTCTCTTTTATAATTAAAAAAAGGACGAGGTGCCTTTTCACGCACGCGCTATCCAAAAGTCCGTTTTATGGAATAGGTCTATTATCCGTAATGTTGATACTTTTTTCTCTGATAATTATTTATTAGAAAACATTAAATCTGATATAAAAATTGTTGAGATAACTAGAATGAAACGCACAGTTACCGACGATAATGGAGAAAAAAAGTCTGTAAATCGACAAATGGTAATCCTAACCTTTTTAGGTAACTCTTTACCCAAATCAATAAAAATTAACTTATGCCATTTTCAAGTAGAACCCTATATTTACCCAATTGTACAATGTCAAAAATGCCTTCATTACGGCCATACTATACAACAATGTAAAGGTTCAATTAAATGTAAGTTTTGCGGCGAAAATCATTTAGCTGAAGTATGCCAACAAAAAGATTCATTATATTGTATACATTGCAAATCTATTGACCACCCCAGTATGAGTAAGTCTTGCCCAAAATACAAAACACAGTACAAAATAAAAGAAACTATGGCTTATAAAAATGTATCCTTTAAAGAAGCACAATATCTTGTTAACAACCCATCTTATACTAATATTACATCAAATAACATATATGCTCCTTTAGCTAACTTATCGGAATTCCCAAATTTACCACCCTCTTTGATTAATAATAGTACTTCATACTCAAATATAATAAAACGCCCTATAAAACCAAAACAGGTAAAACGAAAAGCAGGTAGGTCACCCGAAAGGGAAATTAACAAACGAAAAATTGAAACTAGCTCTAAATCTACCTCAAAATCGATTCTTCCAAACCCACATAGAGAGGAATTTCTAACCTACAAAGATAGTTTGGCGGATCAGATCTCCTCTTTTAACATTAATGTTATATCTACTCTGGTACCAGAAAAAAATTATGAAACTGACTTTTCTAAAGAACTAAATATTAAAGATTCCTTACTTTTTTCCCAAGTAAATTACACAAAACCTAGTACTACAGAAAAAATGATCACAGATCAATTACCATTAACTTCTTTTTTCTTTGTTTCTGTTTCTAAAACAATATTAAAAACATGAATACTTTTTTAAGTAATCTAAATATTCTTCAATGGAATTGTCGTTCTCTGCTATCAAATAAGCATTATTTAATAAATTATCTAGCTATTAATAAAATAGATGTCGTAATACTGTCTGAAATATGGATAAAAGAAAATTATAATTTTAAAATAAAAGGTTATAACTTTATTAAAAAATGCCGCGAAAACGGTAAGGGTGGTGTTGGCACTTTGATATCAGATTTGATAAAATTTAATAAAATACATTTATCAAACAACTTTAATGAGAATATTGAAATATGTGCAGTAACTCTATATAATACAAATATAAACATAAATATCGCCTCAGTTTATAAACCTCCACTTATACAAACAACAATAAATGATTGGACTAATATTTTTGATCAATTCAAAGGTGATACTGTTATTGGGGGGGACTTAAACTCTCATCATACCTCATGGGGATGTAATTATGACAGCTCACAAGGAGAATATATTATCGAAGCGCTCGACCGATC